GACCTTTCAGCCACATCTGGGTTTGAATCCTGACAGCATACCCGTTCTGTGGCCCTGGGCAAGACAGCCTTTCAGAGCTTCTGCTTCCACATCAATAAAATGGGATAATATTATCTCTTGTGTTCTTCTGAGGGTTAAAGGAATGAAAATAAGGTCTTCAGACATAACAAACTATTCTTGGAAGTTTTAAAAGTAGAAACTGACTTTGATCTTATAGATGGTGCGAAAGCTAACAACATTCAACAGGCCAGTTTTCCTTAGACCTGGAATGTCACATGAACTTCAACTTGTTCTACATCCATCATTTGGAAACTATCTACTCCTGTCTCTTCCAAAAACAACAGACACAATAAATAGAACCACTCATTCAGCTGTTTGCCTTAGCTGTCGCTGTTCACCCTTATGGAATGCATCCAATGACAGACCACAGTAGAGATGAACAGCCTGAAAACAAACCAATGACAGGTGAGCACTGCAGAAATAGAAAGAAGCCAGTGGTTCCTGGCGGGGAAGTGGGGGAAGCATGTGCTGGTGATGAGTAAGAGACTGCTAGTGTGCCCTCCAGCCTGAGTGGACCTTCTGCTTTACTGGTCAGTACCCCACGGCCAATTCTCTCATCTCTTGATGAGGCCAGGGCTCTCCCAGGACAGAATCCCTGTCAATCAGCAGCTCAGGCTGCTGTCAAAATGCACGAGTCTCCCATTCGCTAGTGATGGTGTCGGCTTGAAGGATGCGTAATGGATCAAGTGTATTATAGCTGTGATTTATTTTCAAATTTTTTTTGTGAACATCGTACTTGAGTGTAATCTTCACTCCATTTCCATTCTTCCCAGTCCCCCTCCAACTCCTCCCACCTCCCCTCAATTTCCTGTTAGTTCCTTGATTATTGTTATACATACGTTTACATTTATAGTGTGTGTGTGCGTGTCCTATTCAGGGATGAACACTCTGCGGTCTCTATTAATTGGTAATTCTTAGTGATTGAATGTGGACATTAATCATCAATGACTACTAACATAATGAGAAGGTTATGTACTTCCCAATGGGAAAATGCAACAGACACCCCCCCCCATTGAACTAGATACACTGAAGTTAGATCCAACCATCAATTTGTAGAAAATAGATGTAGAAAACAGAGAAGATGGGGGCTATGTTAAATAACATAGACAGTGAGAGGATCTAAGAAAAAAGGTCTTAGGTATGAAAATAAATGAATTGCGGGGGGCGCCAAAAAAGAGACTATGAGACATATTACCTATTCAAACAAATTGTAAAACTAAAAAATATTGTGGAGGGCTGGTTCCGACCTCCATCAGTGTACCGGCTGTGATCTCAGCAGACTGCCAGAGAGGACCTGTATGGGCCTTCCTCTGACATTGGGGCTGAGAACTCAGGGGACTGCCTGAGAGCACCTGGATCCTGCCTCCATGTGGTGAAGCCTTGAGGGAACTGACACTGATTCTAGGCACTCTAACAGTTATCAAAGTGCCTGAAAACAAATCCTGAGTCTATTACTCTCTAGTCCATCCTTGGCAGACAAAAGAAAAACAAGGAGGAACCCAATAGAGGGATACTTTTGGAAGCTCTCGTTAAGAAATTCCAATGGACTCTGATATGAATGTTTGAAATTTGCCTTGTACTGACTTTTTCTGGTTCCCTGTTTAGAACTTGTAATGCTAACTACTCTTGCCTTTACTTGTCCTTCACATCTCTGATTCATGATTCAAGGACTTTCTTTTCTCTCTACAGATAAGAGTTATGCAATTTGGGAGTCTTTTAGATAGACCCACTGAAGGGGTAACCCAATTGTGTTACCCTGCGTCTCTGTTCAGCATGGAAGAAGCCAGAGTGGTCTGAGTCCCTATTCCCTATTGGCAATTTAGGTAACCCCTTCAGAAGACGTTGTGATAAGAATAGGAAGTAGTAATTGACTCAGCAGTTAGGGTAAAAATACCCCAAAGAGAAGTAGCCAGTTTCTTGGCTAAAAGTCAAAATGTCCTTGGGCCTCTAAGCAACATACTCTGTTCCAAAGGCCAAAAACGTCAAATGTATTTGGGACCTCTTATGTAATCTCTAAAAGATTTTAGGGTTACCTCTTTGGAGGGGGGAATGTTAAAAGTGATGGGGAGATATGTGGAGTTGGAGGGGAAGGAGTGGGCATGGATTTGATTAAAACACCTTATATGCATGTATGAAATTCTCAATAATTTTTTTAAAGTTAGAAAAATATTGTTAGCAGTGCTAACTTCAACAGTGGTGGGACATTTGACCATGTTTAGAAATTATTCTTAGCTTTTTAGGTGCATTAGTCATAAGGTGGTTACATGGAAAAGAAGGAAAAAAAATCTTTTTTTTCCAATGCTAGGAATCAAACATGCTAGATAAACACTCTACCACTGGCTATAATTTTCCAGTCCTGAAAATTCTTTTTTTAGTGTTAGAAATATTCAAATATTAGTATCTTTTTTTTTTTTTTTTTTTTGACTCCTTGTAGCCTGCTATCACAGACATCCGCCTGCCCCTGCCTCCTGAGTGTTGGGATTAAAGGTGTGATGGAATATAGTATCTTAATTGCCATTCAGAGTTGATTTTTCTGAAGTGGTAATTAAAGTAGTAGCAGAACATTGTTTATCACATGCTTCACATGTATTATCACATTTAGTCCATATATACCCTATTTTTGTCTCCATTTTGCAGATTGGGAAGGTTGTTTGTTTTCTTTGGGGGGGGGTTGATCTTTTTTGAGACAGGGTCTCCCTGTAGTCCCAGCTGGCCTCGAACTCACAGAGGTCTGCCTGCCTCTGCCTCCTGAGTGCTGGGACTAAGGGCGTGCACCACCACACCTGGCTTGTTTTCTTTTTTTAAAAGATTATTTTTATTTTTATTCATGCGTATGTGTGTATATGTGTGTGCCACGGACTACAGCTCTCCTGGAGGCCAGAAGAGGGCATCAGATCCTCTAGAGCTGGAATCACAAGTGGTCACCGTCTGGGTGCTGGGAACTGAACTCTGGTCCTCTGCAGGAACAGCAACTGCTGTTAACCACTAAGCCATCTCTGTAACCCCTAGAACCTTTCTTTTAAAAAAATTTTTCAGACACTATGTAGCCCTGGCTGGCCTGGTGCTTGGTATTTAGACTAGACTGGCCTTCAACTCAAAGAGATCCACCTGCCTCTGCCTCCCAAATGCAAGGATTAAAGGTGTATACCACCATACCCAATCAACATTTTTTGAGAGAGAGAGAGAGAGATTGAGAGATAGAGAGAGAGAGAGAGAGAGAGAGAGAGAGAGAGAGAGAGAGAGAGAGAGA